CTTACTCCTGTGACTCCGATCCTTAATTTGAATCAAAAGTTCACGAAGCAGAGAGATAGCTTCATCTTGTAAAATTCAAATTTTTACAACACAAGGATACAAACTACAATGGATGTGTAAGCTAAAGACAGCTTCTTTTTGTTTTTAAATATTTCTAAACTTTAATCTTTGCTTCATAATGAGGATTTATTTTGATGTGAACCCAACTGGCGAAGCGCCAGTAGAAAAATTTTCATGTGCCAATTTCTTTTAAAGAAGTTTTCTTGCTGTCGACTAGAGGATTAAATGATATATCCTCATAAGGCGCGACGAGATCTAGGTGCACTTCTTTGTAGAAAACTATACCCTCACAAAAACTCTTGGGGTTCTTCTGCTGGTGTTACGACTACCCTTCCTCCTCAAGGGCCTTCCACGGTGGAGTCTAATCCAATGATCCCTTTGTCAATTCGCCCGAAGGATTTTACTTTTGGAAAAAGAAGGTGTTAGGTACTGATAATCATCAGGAATATCATGTCTACGATTGAATTTTTTTTTTGTGATTGAAAATTTATTAAATTCTATGTTATCAACTGTTAGCACAAGGAAAGGAAAAAAAATTCTTAACTTTATAGTCTTAGGGAGTGTTTGAGCCACATTATTTTGGTAATAATGCATTATTGAATAGTGTATTGATGGAAAATGTGTAGTTAAAAAATAAAGAAATTTTTTTTATTTGCGTGTAATATTATTTTATTGAAGAATGTGTGGTTGAAATGATGTTAAATTACTGTTTAAAAATGCATTTTTTTGAAATAATGTGGCTCAAAACAGACCCTTAATTGTTTCTAGAGGTAAGTAACGTAATCAGATGCAAAAATAGTATATATTAACATTGATTGTTTTCAGAGGTTGGATGATGTTGCATGATTTTTTAATGAATGAAGCTTTTTGAAAAATAAATTGTTTTTCTTTAACTTTGTTGTTATATGGTGTTTAAATGAATTATTAGAATGTAATATGTATTTCAAATAGTATTTAAAAAAAAAATTGATAAATTTTAATAGGAATAGATATAGAGTGGGATAGATATATAAAAAGAATTGATAAAAAATTAGCGGCTCCCTTGACTGCCCAACAGGAAACTTAACACTTTCCATTTGCTAATACGGTATTAAAAATTTCATTTATAAAATGGAGAATTGGGAAAGATTCAGTTACAGTATTTTATGTGTTTGTTTTTACATTTTTACGTATACTTAGCCCTTGGCCCCGTTTTATCAAAAACTCATTTTAATTGAATATTATTCAATAAAATAATTCCATACGTAAATCAATTTTTTTAATTTTATTTTTTATTTTTAGCCACACACTCTCCAGATAGCACCATTTCCACCAAAATGCGGGCTCAAATAAGTGCTTATTTAATTCTTATTATTTTTAAAATATATCTTTCTCTCTCTTCTCTTCAACAATATATTTTTGAATAAAATAATATTACACAGAAATCCAAAATTTTTCCTTATTTTTTAATTACACATTCTCCATCAATCTACTGTTCTAAAATACATTCTTTAGAAATAATGGAGCTCAAACAGTAGGACAGAATTTTTTTTAGTATTCAATGAAATGTTTTATTTTTAATGGTACATATATGGTTTTTCCCCATTTATCTTATCTATTAAGCCAAGTTTACCATCACTAACAACAGCGACCCTTTTCTCAATGGCCAAATATCCACCTTCAATTAGACTCATTAGGCCAACCATCCCCAAGAAATTGCTCCATAATCTGTTGCTAAGAACTCGGCACAGCATGGTTAGGTCCAATTAAATCAACATTAAAATGCCCAAGTAACTTAGTTTCACTTAGAGAAGTAACGTATTTTTGTCAAATATTTTTTTTCGTTTATTTACATTTTTATTATTTTAATTATTAATAGCAATTCAACCCAAACTACTATTATCTTGTGAAATTTGAGCTAAATGGCTTCTGTAGATGACCCGTTTAAAGATGACCCACTTATGTAAACATTTTATTATGGCTTTATTTTGTGAGTATTAAAATTAAATTTTTGGTAATTTTTATAAAAGTTGATAAAATGTACAGTTGAAAAGTTGTGAGTCATATAAAATATGTGATTAAAATGAATTGTTGACTTTGACTTAAATTAAAATCTGAATTTTAATTTCTACCAAACATTGGCTATATAAACTTTCCGTGCTATTGTGCAAATTTTCTTATTTCACTCGAACACTTTTAAAATGTATTTTGAAGTGTAGCATAATCCCTTATACTTTGATTATTATTTGCATATCTAAAAGATTTGAGATTTTACCCTTTCAGAAAAAATTAATTTGTCCAAAGTTAGGTAACATGTTTTCCTTCATAATTTGTATTTTTAGTAAATAAATACTTTTACTTTGTCGTGGTTAATTTAGTTAAAAGCACTATTCTAAAAGGCTAGGAGCCGCCAATGTGCAATGCACGGTCGAAACGCCAAATCAAGTGGCTTGGAGCTTTATTTAGCTGTCTACAGCCATCGTTGACCTCTAAGGCACAGTTATGCTCATCTAGGCGGCATAATTATATATTTTATTTAAATTATTATTATTATTTTTATTTTTTTTCCCAATTCTTCTAAATTAAAACTTAAATGTTGATTATTCACTTCGTTGGTTCTAAATTTAAAATAGTCGCTTGAAACCTTGAACAAAAGAAATCTCTCAAAAATTCTTATTTATTCACTATTTAATATTTACAATTGAAACTTATCTTTTTGTTGAAAACTTTGAAAAAATGTATAAATTTATTTTAAATGTTTGGCAGGTATTATTTTTAATTATTAAAGGACTTTCAATTAATTAATTTTTAAAATAATATTAAAATAAAAAAATGTCTTTTTACGCTTATGCCTTGCCTAAGCTCGCCGAGCCCATAGTTTGGCCTCCATGCATCGTCACACATTATACTTTTTAGAACATTGGTTAAAAGAACAAAAAGGAAAAATTAGAAAACATTTCAATTAGGAACTTTTTTTAAAAAAAAATTGTTTTTGGTAAATTTTGTTTGTCGGCACAATGTGCATACATTATTGGCTCCAAGAATAATTGCTTAGGAATACACCAGAGTTCTGTGGACAGCAAAGAAGAATAAAAAAAGAGAGAAGACAAAAAGTAAAAGCCAAAAAAAAGAAAGAGAAAAAGAAAAAGTAATGTACCTTACTTTAGCATAGGGTAATAATATATTATGTATCTATAAAGACAGCTTACCATTTATTTATGGTCATAGCATATTTACGAGCGTCCTTCCACGCGAAAGAAGACGACAAAATAAAAGTCAAGTAAGATGATTTTAATTTACTTTGCATTATTTGCTGAGTTTGTGGTTAGTTCTCAAGTTTCCTTTTCATTTGGAACTCTATTATTCAATTGTTAGTTCAACTAGCATTCTCGATATTATGCTTTGAATGAGCTCGTGAAGTAACCAAAAACGTGTTACCTTTTGTGATCCTTTTAAAATGCTCGGCAATTCAACTTTCGTGTGCAGTTTGAAAACACTATTTATCACCGATGTCAAGAAATTTTTTTTTGATTTAAGTTATCGTAAGTACACGGTTCGTTAATAAGTAGTGAAATGGATTTTGAGTCCAAGTATCTTACTCACAGAAATTGTACTAATTTAAATTTAAATTATCTTCACCTTATTTGAAACGATGAAACTCATAATTTTTCTATACTCAAAATGTAATCACTTAAATTATGTATCAATGCAGAATCTAAACTAATTAAAATCAATGCATGGTTATAATTAAATTAAATACTATTCAATTATGAAGATCAATATTTCTAATTTTCTTAATAATCTCTCTTGAGTAAAATTAAAAATATTCTTACATGTGATCCGACTATATTTTTATGACAGATGCAAATATATAAAAATGCATTAAGGATTTGGGATTTATGAATACTTAATGATCATGTAGAGCCCCTGTTTGATTTTCATTACATTACATTCTATTTTTCTCTCTCCTATTTTCAGCCACACAATCTTCCATAAAATAATATTACACGTAAATCGAAAATTTTTCTTTCTTTTTCAACCACTCCTTTTTTAAAAAACACTATTCTATACATTAAATTTTCCCCGTAATGGGGGCCAAACAGGGGCAGAGTATTGCAATATATTTCTATTCTCCTATCGAACTATACAATAATTGACATTGTGTTTAACTTATTTTCAATCTTTCAAAAGTAAAACAAGTCACAAAACTTATACAATTACTGAGCATATAATTGTAGAGGAAAATAAATACATGTCAGTAATTCAATAATTGAGAACATGTTTTGAATGTCTAAAATAAATAAGGTTAAAAAATTAATGGTTTTTGATATAACTTTGATCGTAATCATAGCACAAAAATAATATGACAGTTCATAATATCGGACTTAAACAAATAAAAGTGAAATGATATCATCAATAAATTGACGGAACGTAATTAATTTTCCAAATTGAGATTGTCGTGTTTTTCCCAATATTTGGCCGAATTTCTCTTGTACGTTTTTCTGTCTTCTGCCTCTCTCAGCACGTGTCTCTCTCATTCTTTTCTTTTTTTTTCTTTTCTATTTTTTTCATTTCCCAATATTTGGGCCTTTTAATTCCCGTTAATTCCAATTTTTTTTCTTTCCCCCCCCATTAGGAGTCTATATGCCAGTGCCATTCTCTTCTCTCTCCAATTCTACCCTTAGCCTTAAAATAAAAAAAAAGGAAGTCCAATAGTGAGTCTAGCCTGTTTAGGTTTTCCAAATATAAATTCTTCCTAAAGTGTCGTTCATGCGATCTCGATGAACTGGCACAATCAGCAACTGATGTGATTGAAAGGGCCCAAGGTCAGCGTGACTGCAATAGTAGTGGGAACCGGAGACCACTCTGTGTAAAGAGCTGTAGCTGGCGAGCTTGACTGCACCAAAGGCGAGGTCGAGGAGGCAAGCTTTCAAAGGACAGCTCAGGGCGGTACCTCTTTAGAGGTTGGACGTCCTTCCCTGTCTTCTCTGAAGCTAAGCTCACCACCGATGGAACCTCTCTCTTGTTCCCTTTAGCAGAAGCAGTTGCTACCTTAGTTGGCTTATATCCCAGCATTTCTGGATTATGAGCTGAAAAACACAAATAAATACAACATTTAGCATTTTTATAAAAAATAACCAGCTCTCCCATAAAAAGTAACTTAATCCTTACTTGAACTAGCTGGGATGGAAGTCAATGTTCCAACCATGGACGGACTTAGGACTCTTGTTTGGATTAAACACACTCGGAAGAGGTTGGAATTCGAGATCACGTACTTACAGGAACTCTGTCTCTTCAGCAAGGCCCTTATCTCCTCAGCTCATCTCTGAGTGTCCTTTTTCAAAGTCGCCTTCCTGTAATCTGCAAAACAAGGCAAAGTTTAATATTACTTCACCAGTTACTTCAACCATAGCATCAAAAGATAGTTACTTACATAAAGAATGGTAGAGTATGGGGACCATCCTCCCTATTCACTTCGACAGGTGAAACTACCACTCTCCTGACACGTAAAAGAATTTCTCCTTCCACTTCTTGATGGAGGAGGGAGTGTCCAGCACTAAGGAATCACCCATCCTCGGCCTAACACTGGTATGCCAACAACCGATTCCATCCTTCTTGAATGTGAAAAGGGAATTAAACTGCGTTGCACTCAGCTCGGGATTTCCTAACCTATTCCACAAGATTAAGGGGATGATTAAAGTTTACCACCTGTTGGGGCATAGCTAAGTGGAAGCTATACCCCAAAAGGATAGGAACTTATGAATGACTCTAGAAATGGGCAGTCTAAGCTCGGTATGTAAAATGGTCGAATTCAGAGAACACATCTCCTTGGGGAAGCGTTAGTGCGGGGTCAGAAGGTTTAGGGATTATCATTATTATCAAGCTCGAAATGTCATACCTAGCTTGCCAGCTCGCTAACAAATCACCTGTTACAATCGACTTATATGAGTTTGCCTCCCACTCCTCAGGGTTATTCCTCTCACTACCCGCGTAGGAGCCGACCTCCTCTCCTCTCGAACCATCACGATCTGATTCCATAATCACAAGGCGCTCTAGATCTACTGGGTTAACTATTGAAATAGGAATAGGGGTTAAGATTTCCTGGCAACTAGACGGAGAACTAGAAATGGGAGGGACCGAGTCTTCTTTCTGGTTTCTCCAAGAATATACCCTAGACTTGTCGGAGCTTATGAAAAGGCTGAAGAGAAAAGAAAATAAGAGAAGTAGCAAAGGAATACCTAGAAAAAGAGCTGGTTTCCCAGAAGTGTACCTTAGACTCGTTGGAGCTCATGAAAAGGCTGAAGAGAAGAAGCAAAGGAATACTTAGGAATTGAGAACGGACGACCTCACTCAGAAGAAAAAAAGACGCACTAAAAAAATTTCTTGCTACTTTGGAGAGAATGATTGCACAGAGTAAATGGTGAAATGAAAGGTAGAAAAGGATTTAAAATGAAGGAAAACCAAAAGACTCCACCTTGACCGTTGGATGAAGAAAATGAGGGAAAATGGACGGATCCGATTCACCCAGTCAAAACTACGTCGTTTTGACAAAACTTTCCAAAGATGCCATGAAAGGTGCTGTGCAGCTCAGCCCCAATAGAAGCATGACACCTGGTATTGCAATAATGACACTTCTAGGAAAAAGTACTAGCTGAGTCTAGAGGTCAGTCGTCCTCTAAAGTAATATTGACTTGTCGGGTATCTGTTGACCACCGACCTACGATCTCACATTTAATGTTCGCAAGACCCATCTCATACATAAACCAGGTCGACTACATAAGTTCAGCTCGGTCCACTATCGCCGTAATCCCAAAAGACATAATAATTGAAGATTCTTCACTCTTCTCCTATCACCCAATCAATCACACACACTTGTTGAAGATGACATCAGCACTATCCAAACCTACCAATTAACCACCTTGGTTCCCTTATCCCTTGCAGGCCATCATCACCTAAAGGAAACATTGACATGATGACGAACCTACCTCACCGACCAATCAAGGTAGAGAGCGGCGACACATTGTTCGAGCTTAGTACAAGTGGCCGATTTGATTGACATGACATAATTTCGGCTAAGGGCCCCTATAAATAGTGGGAAATGGTTCCCTTTTAGGGCAAGCTAAGCCTTCCACACCTACACATTGTACAATTTTACCTTTCATTATCACTACAAAGTGTCATTTTTCTTAAAGTTGGCTCAAAAATAGTCCATAAAATTTTTGACGTCAACAAAGTCCAAACCCAGTTAAATTTTAGTTCCAATCAAAGTGTATGTCAAAATTCATTTTGATAACAATTTTCAATTGGTTCTTGCTATATTAAATTGTAATTTGCACCATTGTCCAACATTATTTTAGAATGTGCATACTGACCTCTAGTCCAATTAATTGCACAATCAATTCATTTTTTAGTTCAATTCAAGCCTTTCAATTTCTAACATGTAAGGCCCGTTTAATTCTCATTTTTCTAAGAATGAGAATGAAAAATATAGCAGTTACGAGACTCACACAAGAGATAGATAGTCAAATATAGTAGCTTGATGTGATGGATAATGGTCATATTTTTCATTTTTGTGGCTAAAGAGTGGGACCAAATGGGGGCATAGAATTCGTATCCAAACTTCCATTCAATGGCCAATTTATCCTTTTTCTCTTTCCCATTGCTTCAAAATGAGCCTGTAACTAAACATAGAAGTAAATTAATCCAAGTTAAGTAAAATTCAATAGTTTCATGACATAAAAACTTAGTATTATGGTCCGAATAAGTGCACAAAAAGCACTTATCAACCTTATGAGGAACTAGCCCATCTAAAATCTTATCATGCTATAAGAAACATGAAATTGCACTATTGGTTCTCAATTAGTGAAAAACGAGCATGTTAGTTATCAACCTCTTTATAACATTTGCACAAAAAGTTTTCAAACATGAAAATCGTTCAAATCTCCTTTAAATTATCATGCAATCTTGGGTAGCTATCCATAAAATTTAACACTTAGAGTGTGTTTGATTGACATGGAAAATATCACCTAAAAAAGAAAATATTTTCCTTGTTTTGAAGAAAATGAAAACCACCTCCACCCAAGAAAAATATTTTCCATGGAGAAAAATAGGAATCAAACACCCCAAGTAGAAATTTGGATGAAAAACTGAAATTTTTCATGAAAAATAAATGTAATCAAACACACAAGAACAATGTGGTGGCGCCAAACTTTCCTTTAATTTAATGAACTTTGTATTCGACACAATCTCCTCACATACAGGTCGGTGTCATTGTTTGCAGGTTCGGTAAAGTACATTGATTATGAGCCCTTGTACAAGGCAATTGAAGAAGGGAAGTGGCATTCTATAGTAGATTTCATTCGATGAAATCCAGAGGCCATTAGGGTAAGAGTTTGTTTTGGACACAAACACACAACTCTATACATTGCAACTTTGTTTTGGACAGACTGAAGTTACATAAAATCTTGAAAGCCTTGTCCCGTGCTGAGATGTGTGGTGCGACAAAACTAGCCAAGAAAATGATATATAAGAACAAAAATTTATTTAAAATAGCAAAGTAGATTATAAAAATGGGCAACTTCATATGATTATGGCTGCATTGCATGGAAAAAAGGACATGGTTCGTTATTTATACAGCGTGATGTCGAAAGATGAGCTGAGTCCTGAAAAGAGTGAAAATGGAGTCACACTGCCTTATTAATGCTGAAATTTATGGTATGTGGACGTATAATTTGTGGAGTCTAATCATATTGTGTAAAATCTATCAATTACAGATAAATATAATGTTCACACACATGTAGAATAATTTGTAGACAATCATTTTGTTTCACGTTAGTGAAGACTCAGTTCTCACACTGAGCGTGAAAATCTCTATTTGAATACAATTTATAATATGGTTAATAAATTTGTTAAAGTCAAATATTATTTTCGAACAAACATTTATAATTACTATTTATTATAATAAAAAAATTTAGTAGATCCCGCTAGTATTCCACTTTACAAATTGATTTATAAATTTGTCAAATGGAGGCTATATATTTTCTGATTTTATTTTAGTAAAGTTGCAGTCTCAATTGAGATTATGGCTCAATCCCCATGACATGATACCTAATTCTGGCTGTTTGCTTACTGTAGATATTGCTTCTATGCTATTGAAAAGTATCCAAAGTCGTGTGTTACCCCAGATCATGTTGACAATTTCCCTCTCTGAATATTGGCTCAGAAACCTTCTGCATTTCCCAGTGGGACTAAACTGGCATTTTGGGAAAGACGGATCTATTATAGTAAGTACAAAAATGCTCTCCTAGTCATTTCATTCACAAACAATGTACCATGAGAACACATCTAGATAAATTTTAGTTTCTTTTTCATGCTGTCTCATACAACATTACCAACTTGCTATAAATGTACATGTTGAACGTGATCATTTTGAAAAGTAATCCATGTCTGTACTTTTTACACAAGGTGTAAGAGTACATTTACCTTGGGACAGTCATGACATAGAGCATGTAGAAATGCAAACCTCTACTATTATTGTTTGTGAATCAAGCGATGAAGATATAATGGAAACGATGGAACATGGATTTGGTATAAATTAGGCCATGACGACTCCTGGACCATCCCTCTATCAACTCCGCCAGTCCATCCTGGACCGAAGTCTCTTTTTAAAGACATGTGGACCCATGGGCCTTCAAAGTTGAGCCCAGCCAACTGTAGATGTGGGCTGATCATGCCATGGCCTGTGATGGGACTGGCTGTGCTTTCATGCGTTAGCTGGCTCTAAGCTTTGATAACCCAGTTTAACACCTCTAAGTAAATTCATGTCGGGCAGCTCTAGAGTTGGTGCACAAATTCGGTTGGGAGATATTACAATTCCTTGTTATGTATAATCTTCCTACATATATAATTTCCCACTACGCATTTTAATTATATATAATTTCTGTTTTGATTAGGTCAGAGACGTTTAATATGGTGGAAAAAATAGCACTTAACACTATTGAGGAAGAAAAAAAATCTTATCAGTCATTCTTAGCAGTAATATTGAATATGGTGTCCCAAATGTGCTCTTAGTTCAGTTTTGTTTCTGTCATTAAAATGTTAGTGTGTCCATGGTGTTTTTTTCCATATAAATTCAACTGGGTGAAATGTTTTCCTTTTAGCCGCATGTCATTGATGAATTCTATTTCTCCAGTATTGTATTAGACCATATGTGCCTGTTCTGCTGGAATAAATCAAATTTGACCCTCACATTTTCTAGAATAATTCCATTATTTGAGGAATAATCTTGAATTTTTAGCATGTATAAATAGAACCACATGATGTAATATTTTTTAATGCAAAATAAGTAGTGAATTTCAGTTTATATATCTCTGTGTATTCAAACTGACATTAGAGCTTTGAAAAAAGAAAAAAAACTTATAGACATTTAATGGAAAAAAAACTATGTACACCAAGCATAACGTGTCCAATAATCTGGTTTCCCCTATGCCTCATTTTAATGGAAAAAATTTGATAATTACTTCATTTATCAACCATATAGACATTTATTCATCCACAAATAAATCCAACTATTCAAATAAATGCATAGAACAACCCTCGAAAACACTCAACTATAAAATCATGCAATAAATCAAGAATTAGAATTTCAGAAAATAAACAATTCTAGACCTATACTCTGATATCTCTTTTTGGGGTTAGGGAACACCCCAAAAAAAAAAAACACCTATTTATTGCATTTCTAACTAATCACCACAGACGTGTCTAGAAGTTACGACTATTTCAAGCAATTAATTTGTTTATCTTCTTGCTTGATGTTGATTGATTCGCAAACTTCCAAACTAGATCCCATCCAATAATTGTTCTTTCCTTGATCTACAAGCTTCATACCCACTTAGGTAATGGAAATTGTATTTTATTCAAATTATAATGGAAACTTGATAACCAAGTTATATTCATAACAAAATTCATTTTAGGAGTTGGCCACACCCAAATTTTAACTTGTCAAGATCGTGTGAAATTTTAACCTTCAATTAGACTCATTGGGCCAACTATCCCCCAATAAAAAGAGGAAAAAATTCATATGTCAGATGTATTATTTACACCATTTCAAAACCTAGGTTGAAAATTCAAAATTCAGGTATGAATTTAATTAATTATAATATTTATTAAATAAATATAATAAAGTCACAGTTTAACAATTATTGGTCACAAATTTATTTATTCGCCACATATCATCAAATTAATTGGTCACAAAATTTTTCGAGGTCACAGATCAAAAATTTTCAGGTTACAGATTATTTTTTAGTCACATATCATCAAAATTTAAGGTCACAGATTATTTTTCAGTCACAGATTATCAAATTTTAAGGTTACGGACCAAATTTTAAGGTCATGGACCATCACCAACAAAAAAAAAAACACCGGCAATCAACCCCAACCACCCCACCTTGATCCCGATCCACCACTACCTCTATCAAATCTCCAACCACCAACCACCACCTCGATCGTCGCCAAAAACGACCAAGACCGTCACCACCAATCACACAACACCCCAACCCACAACCTCACCAACATAACCACGTCTCCTAACACAACCACTGTTAGAAACTTCAAACAATACACCATCGGTACCTCCCAACCTCAACATCACCACCTAAATCATGACACCGCCAACACCACTGTACTCACGGTGCCCTACAAACCAGATTCGAAGCCACCAACCCACTACACCACATTTGAACCACTGCAAATTGATCAACACACCACTACACACTAGCATGCCACCACCACTGCATCCTCACCCACCATCATCGCAACCAGCTACACCACTATCTCACAGCATCGATTTGAGACTGAATGTCGCTGCAACGACTAAGATCTGAGCGCGAGCACAGTTTGCTGCAACAGCGCTCATATCCAAGCATCGCCACAACATATCGTCAGGTAAATATGGTAGACTGACTGGAGATTGATGGAACCGACGATGAATGATACACAACGGGGATGAAGATGAATCGAAATGGGTAGAGAGAAAATAAATGAGTACAGGTGAAGAGGGCTGCGAGAGAGAGAGAAAGACGAGGATATGAATTTGTTTAGAGTTTCTTTGGGTGGGGTGGGTATAAATATATAATACCTGATTTCTAATTAAAAAAACTTTCAACTTGATTTTTGCATTGTCATTTTTAAATACCTGGATTTTTGTAATTTCCACATAAAAAGATCCATATTCTGCTGCTTAGCACTTGGGCCACCACTACTAGGCCCAATTAAAGTAGGCCAAACTACTATTATCTTGTGAAATTTAAGCTAAATGGCTGATGTAGACTATGATAGACTGTGGGCCGTAGAAGCATCTAACCAATTTAAAGATGACCCACTTATGTAATTTTCTCTAAATAAAATGTTTCCTATCTATGAAAAAACATTTTATTTGAGTAAATTACACAAGCTCTCTAGGCTGCTCTGTTGTATAAATTTTCCTATTTAACTAGAACACCTCACAAAATATATTAAAAGGTGTAGCATAATCCATTATATTTTGAATATTATTTGTGTATTTAAAAGATTACCAATCAGAAAACAATATCCCGAAGTTAGGATAAATGTTTTCCTCCTAAATTGGTATTTTATTTTTATTTTAGTAAATAAATACTTTTACTTTGTCATGGTGAATTTAACTAAAAGGAAAAAAAATGAAAAAACTGAAAACATTTCAATTAGGAACGAATTTTTTTCTTTTTCCTTTTTTTTGGGTAAATTTTGTTTGTCTGCACAATGTGAGGCACATTGTTGGCCCTCCAAGAAGTTGAGAATAATTTCTTTGGAATACACCAGTTTTGTGGACAACAAAGAAGGTTAAAAAAAGGAAAGAAGACAAAAAGTAAAAGTAAATAAAAAAATGTACCTTACTTAAGCATAAAGTAATTCTATATTATGCATCTATAAAGACTGATTGCCCTTCTTGATGATCATAGCATACTTACAAGTGTTATCCCAGAGAGAAGATGACAAAATTAAAGTCAAGTCAGATGATTTTAATTTACTTTGCATGATTTGTTGTGTTTATAGTCCCCCCCCCCCTCAAGTTTCCTTTTCATCTTGAGCTCCATTATTGAATTGCTAGTACAATTAACATTCTCGATATTGTGCTTTGAATAAACTCGTGAAGTAATCAAGAATATATTACTTTTTGTGGTCCCTTTACAATGTCGGGCACTTCAACTTTCTCGAACAATTTGAAAGCACTGTTTGTCACCTAACTTATAGCACTGTTTCATTTAGTCATCAATTCTTTTTTAAGTTTACCACTGAACTTTCATTTTGATTGACAAGTAGATAGAAGGCATAATCTAGCAGGTCTGGGAATTGTGTCGGAGAAGCTAACTGAGGATAACTTTAAAAGAAGTTGAGAATAAATTCTTTTTGAATAAACTAGTTCTGTGGACAACATTGAGTGAAGTACATTGTTCGCCCTCAAAAAGTTAAGAATAATTACTTCGGAATACACCAGTTCTGTGGACAGCAAATAAGAATAATACACTAGTTCTATGGACAACATTGAGTGAAGCACATTGTTAGCCCTCCAAGAAGTTAAGAATAAATTCTTTGAAATACACCAGTTCTATGGACATCAAAGAAGAATAATACACCAGTTCTGTGGACAACAATGTGAAGCACATTGTTGGCCCTCCAAGAAGTTAAGAATAATTTCCTTGGAATACACCAGTTCTATGGACAGCAAAGAAGAAAAATACTCCAGTTCTGTGGACAACAATGGGAAGCACATTGTTGGCCCTTCAAGAAGTTGAGAGTAATTTCTGTTGGAATACACCAGTTCTGCGGACAGCAACGAAGAGTAAAGAAAAGGAAAGAAGATAAAAACTAAAAGTAAATAAATAAAAAATGTACCTTACTTAAGCATAGAGTAATTCTATATTATGCATCTATAAAGATTGATTGCCCTTCTTGATGATCATAGCATACTTACAAGTGTTATCCCAGTGAGAGAAGATGACAAAATTAAAATCAAGTAAGATGATTTTAATTTACTTTGCATGATTTGGTGTGTTTATAGTGTTTTTTTTCTCAATTTTCCTTTTCATCTTGAGCCCTATTATTGAATTTCTAGTTCATTTAACATTCTCGATATTGTGATTTGAATAAAACTCATGAAGTAATCAAGAATATATTACCTTTTGCGGTCCATTTACAATGCCGGGCACTTCAACTTTCTCGAACAATTTGAAAGCAGTGCTTGTCACCCAACTTACATCACTATTTCATTTAGTCATCAATTCTTTTTTAAGTTTATCACTGAACTTTCATTTTGATTGGCGAACAGATAGAAGGAAAAATCTAGCGGGTCTGGGAATTGTGTCGGAGAAGCTAACTGAGGATAACTTTATAAGAAGTTGAGAATAATTTCTTTTGGAATACACTAGTTCTGTGGACAACAATGTGAAGCACATTGTTGGCCTTTCGAGAAGCTGAGAATAATTTCTTTTGGAATACAACAGTTCTGTGGACAGCAAAGAAGAATAATACACCAGTTCACTGGACAACATTGAGTGAAGAACATTGTTGGCCCTCCAAAAAGTTAAGAATAATTTCTTTGGAAAACAACAGTTCCGTGGACAGAAAAGAAGAATAATACACCAGTTCTGTTGACAACAACGTGAAGCACATTGTTGGCCCTCCAAGAAGTTAAGAATAATTTTTTGGAATATACCAATTTTTTGGATAGTAAAGAAGAATAATACATCAGCTCTGTGGACAACAATGTGAAGCACATTGTGGGCCTCCCAAGAAGTTGAGAGTAATTTCTTTTGGAATACACCTGGATAGCAAAGAAGAATAAAGAAAAGGAGAAAAGACAAAAAGTATAAGTAAATAAATAAAAAATGTACCTTACTTAAGCATAGAGTGAATTACGTCTATAAAGACTGATTGCCCTTCTTGATGATCATATCATACCTACAAGTGTTATCCTAGTGAGAGAAGATGACAAAATTAAAGTCAAGTAAGATGATTTTAGTTTACTTTGCATGATTTGGTGTGTTTATAGTTTTTTCCCTCAAGTTTCCTTTTCATCTCAAGCTCTATTATTGAATTTCTAGTTCAATTAACATTCTCAATATTGTGCTTTGAATAAACTCGTAAAGTAATCAAGAATATATTACTTTTTGTGGGCCCTTTACAATGCCGAGCACTTCAACTTTCTCGAACAATTTGAAAGCACTGTTTGTCACCCAACTTACAACACTGTTTCATTTAGTCATCAATTCTTTTTTAAGTTTATCACTGAACTTTCATTTTGATTGGCGAACAGATAGAAGGCATAATCTAGCAGGTTTGGGAATTGTGTCAGAGAAGCTAACTGAGGATAACTTTATAAGTTGGAAAAATTGCTTGACAAATTATTTGGTTGGGAATGGGCTTTGGGGTGTTGTCTCTGCTCAGGAGATTGAACCAGATAAGACAAATAAACAAGAGCATGAAAAATGGAAGAAACAGAATGCTTTGGCTTTGCATGCAATTCAACTTTCATGTGGACAAGCAATATATTCGAAGTTTAAAAATGTCGACATTAATGCTAACTACGTATGGACTCAGTTAGCAGAACAAGGAGATCATGACAAAGAAAGTCGAGTCGAAGATAATGGTAATTTCTCAATCTTTGTGATGAACTAGGCCGTCTAAAATTTTATTGTGTTATAAGAAATGTGAAATTGCACTATAGGTTCTCAATCATTAAAAATGAGCAAAGAACAATGTGGTGGTGCCAATCTTCTCTCTTATTTAGTGAAATCTGCATTTGACACAACTCCATCACATTTAGGCTGACTTCATTGTTTGCAGGGTTGAGCGAGTACCTTGAATACGGGCCCTTATACGAGGCAATTGAAAAAGGTAATTGGCATGATATAGAAGGTTTCTTTCAAGAAAAGAAACTGCCATTTACTGAAAGTGTTTCATCACACAAAGAGACAGCTCTACACATGGCAACTTTATCTGGACAGACTGAAATTGCGAAAAAACTTGTAAAATTGATGGGCCCAAAAGAGTTAGAACAGAAAAATGAACATGGAGCTACAACCTTATCTTTTGCTGCAATCTGTGGTGCGACAGAACTGGCTAAGGAAATGGTAAGCAAGAACGAAGAATTAGTTACAATAGAAACTGCAGGACAAGAATATGGGCAACTTCCTGTGATGGTGGTTGCATTGTATAGACAGAAGGGCATGGTTCATTATTTATACAATAAGACGCCAAAAGATGTGCTGAGTCCTGAAAAGGGTGCAAATGGAGTCACACTACTTAATTACCTTATTAGTGCTGATATTTATGGTAAGTGAATGCATAATGTGGAGTCTAATCATGCTCTATGAGGATAAAGCCCCTTGGGATATTGCCATGGAATTGTACCACGGGTGAGATGGCATATTAAGATTGGTAATGTTAAAATAATTTTTTGTCTAACTGCCAATCAGAGTTTGCTTAGTGTGAATTTAAAATTCCATGGCAATGTAGCATGATCGGCTCTCTGTTAATTTCGTCAATTGTAGATAAACGTAATAGTAATGCGTATACATAGGATTTTCAATTTTGTTGATGGTAGTTTTGTTTCACAACGTGCTTCTCCAATTGAGCATGAAACACTGAAAATTTCTGTTTGGATACAACTTATAATATGCTTAATAAACCTAGTTAAAGTCAAGCATTAATTTGAATCATTACTTTCAAAAATTTAGTGGGTCCCAGTACTATTCCTCTTTATAAATTGATTTATAAGTTTGTCAAATGGAGGCTATATGTTTTTTGATTTTGTTTTAGTAAAAGTTGCTATCACAATTGAGATTTGGGCTTAATTCTCTAGAGATGTATACCTAATTTTGGCTATTTTGTTACTGTAGATGTTGCTTTGTTGCTATTGGAAAAGTATCCACAGTTGGGTGTTATCCCAGATGTTAATGATAATTATGCTCTCAAATTATTGGCTCAAAGGCCTTCTGCATTTCCTAGTGGGACTGAACTTTCATTTTGGGAAAAATTGATCTATTACTGTAAGTATGTAATTGGTCACGTGTTAATTTCATTCACAAACAATGTATCATAAGGGTACATTTAGATAAAGTTTAGGGGCTGTTTGATAGCCCTTTTTTTCTAGGGAAAATGGAAAACTACTTCTAACTTCCACGTTTGGCCTGTTTGATTGACAAAACTTTTCAAGGAATTCATTTTACACCTTTGGCCGCCACGTCAACATTTTCCATCTTTTTCTTGAATTCGAATTCTCACCACATTGGTGAGAATTCGTTTTTTGGGTTACTGTAGCGATTTTTTAATTTTTTTCATTTATTATTATTATTATTATTATTATTATTATTATTATTATTATTATTATTATTATTATTATTATTTTCTTTTACAATGGAAACAAATTCTAAGAATTATTATAAAACAATTTATCCCTTTAATTGACAAAATTCATGTAAAACAAAGCCAAACGAGCACCAAAAAATAGATGATTTTCTTATTATTTATATTTTTTTATTTTTTTGCGATGGAAACAAATTTCATCCCCAATACCAATAAATTCTATCCCTTTAATTGACAATTTTCGTGTTAAACAAAGTAAGATGAACATCAAAAAATACTTTTATTTTAACATTTTTCATGTGGAAAATTATATCAATCAAACACAATAATTTACAATTTCTAGGAAAACAATTTCTAGGCAATTCAATTTCCTGAAATTTGTTTTCTTTCCATCCAAATTCCATCTTTGCAATCGAACAGATCCTTAGTTTCTTATTCGTACTGTCTACTACAATATACAAATGTGCCATAAACTCACTTATTGAATATGATCGTTTTGAAAAGTATTCCTTGTCTGAACTTTTTACACAAGGTGTAAGAGTACATGAAGAGCTTGTAGAAATGCAAACATCAAGTACTAGTCATGATTACAACATTCAAATTCCTGAATCAAACGACGAAGATTTGGCAGGAATGATGGCACATGGTGGCCTAACTATAACTACTCAAGGTACATCAGATTATGTCACACTCCTCCCCTTTTTTCAGGTTTTCTTCACACATCCTAAATTTAGTTTAGAGGTATAAATTAGGCGAGTATGACTCTTGAACCTTCACTAGCTCGGATCAGCCAGTGCATCCTATGCCTAAGCCTTTTTAAATTTATTTTGAACATGTGGACCCATGTGTTAACGGTACATTTGGGCTGACTGCACCATGTCCTAGTCCGACTGTGCTTTCATGTGTCAAGTGGCCCTAGGCTTTGATAACCCACTACATTTTGACACCTCTAAATAAATTCTTGTTGTGCAGCTCTAGAGTTGGTACGCAAACTGGGTTGGGTGATATTGCGGTCCATTGGTATGTATTATCTTCCTATATATATAGTTTCTGCTACACGTGTACTGAAAATCAATTACACATGAAACGTTATTTAATATTATTTTTATTAATTTTCAGTTCCAGGGATCCGTTACATATACCGAAGGAAGTCAGTCCATGTCCAAGTTAGGAAATTCCTGAGGATTGTGTTTAAAAAAATGTTACAATTGAGCAAACCAGAGCTCGAAAAAATGGACTTGGATAAAATAATAAATGATGCCATAAAGAATGGAATTTTTGAATTGATAGATGAAATGATTAAATGTGCACCAGAAATTATATGGAGAAAAGATAAAAAAGGGAGAACAATTTTTTCGAACGCAATTATATCGCGTCAAGAGAAGATTTTTGGCCTCATATTTACTTTAGGAAAAGAGAAGTGTTTAATGGGAATGAGGTATGATATTTTTGGCAACAATTATTTACATCTTGCTGCAAAATTGTCTCCTCCTTCTCGACTTGATATTGTAACTGGAGCAGCACTACAAATGCAAAGGGAACTGCAATGGTTTAAGGTAAAGTACTTTGCTCGGTTACGTGAGTGTGTGTGTGTGAATGCATGTGTATGTATACTGTTATGATTGTTATTCGAGCCATTTCTTCTGCAAACTTAAGCTGATGAAAGATATCATAAATTTATTTATTTGAATTTTATATTAAATGTGTTCCCTCTCTATAACACCTGCACAGTTCTCATAAATAGGTGACAATTATCGAAGACATAATTCACATAAATAAATTTGTCTTTTTTCTCTGAAAGTTTAAACTTTAGATGAGATAATTCAATATGATATTATTGTGAAAATAATTAAAGGCATAATTCAAGTCTTGTCAGCATCTATTTATGAAAAATTGTGCACTGATTTCGTCCCTAAAATTCACAATATTTTGTTTACTCTAATGCTACACATTCATCTAACTTATCTGAAATTGAATCGTCATTCTATGTTATTTCTTCCAATATGCAGGAAGTTGGGAGCATGGTACAACCCAAACTCAAAGAGGAACTAAACAGCCACAACAAAACACCGAAAGTTTTATTCACTGAAGAGCACGAGAGGTTAGCCAAAAAAGCCGAGGACTGGATGAAAAATACAGCAGGGTCAAGCATGATAGTGGCAACTCTAATTGCTGCTGTAATGTTCACAACAGCTTTCACAGTACCAGGTGGTAATAAAAATGACACGGGAATGCCAACAATGCTGGAAACTCAAAGGATTCCCTTCTTGATTTTCATGATTTCGAATGCCCTGTCGATGTTCAGTTCAAGTACATCACTGTTGATTTTCTTGGGAATTCTTACAGCGCGTTATGCAGAAGATGATTTTCTCAAGTCCTTACCGACAAAATTAATATCAGGACTGACGAGTTTGTTCCTTTCGATTGTTACCATGATGGCATCCTTTGGTTCTGCATTGTATTTGATTCTTCATGAGAATTTGTCTTGGGTCACCGTTCCTATCATCGTCCTTACAACGATTCCAATAGTTCTTTTCTCTATCTTGCAGTTTCCTCTCTTGATTGAGATGACCCAACGTACTTATGGAGCCGGGATATTTGATGAATATACGAAGAAATCCCGTTTTGCCAAGTTCAGAGCATGTTTGATAAGGAGGAATCCATTGAGGAAGAAAAGACATTAAAAATTTTATAGGTCTTACTATAGAGTACTTTGAATAAGGTGTCTCAAATGTGTTGTTAGCTCATTTTGGTTTCTGTCATTTTAAGTAATGATGTATCCATGGTGTTTTTTCTTATGAATAATTCATGTATCGGATCTAATTGAGTGTCTCGTAGAACTTCGTTGTTTGAAGAGTCATCTTGAATTCTTAGTATGTACAAATAGAAGCACATGTAGCAATATTTTGTAATGCAAATACGAAGTGAATTTCAGATTATATATCTCCAAATTATCTTGCCTTCAAACTGTAATTAAAGCCTTGAAAAAGAAAAAAAATAACGTCCATCAATCTTGTTTCTCTTGTGCCTCATTTTAATGGAAAAAAATTGAATAATATTTCATTCATCAACCATCCATAAATTTATTTATCCATAAATAAATCCAATCATTCAAATAAACGCATAAAACAACCCTAGGAATTGCTCAACTATAAAATCATGCAATAAATCAAGAATTAGAATTACAACACATGATTCTAGACCTATACTCTATTGCCACTTTTTGAAAACTGGTCCGTTAGGATTAGGAAAAAAATAATTCAACATAAGATTAATAGACCAGATCTTTACTAGATTACTATGTGTTGCATTTCTAATTAATTGTCACATTAGTGTTTGGATGTTACACCTATTCCGAGCAATTAATTTCTTTATCTTCTGTCTTGAGGTTGATTGATTTGCAAGCTTTCAAATTAGATCCCATCGAATAATTACTCCTTCCTTGATCTACAAACTTCTAACACTGAGATCTTATCTCCGATCTTCTCCACAACCTGGTTGCACCTGATTTATGGGACCAATTATCAAATTCCTAATCCTCAAGAACTCACAAGAAAATATTATGATATCAAGAACTCTCTCAAGTAATGGAATTTGTATTGAATATGTACGTTCTTTCACGGTCCATTAGATTTATTTATGTAGAACTAAATAGTCTTGTTCATTTATCCAACACGATTGGGATTCAAATTACAAAGGAACCACGTTATATAAACAATAAAATTCCTTTTAGGACTTGTACAATCCCGAATTTTTACTCATCAAGATCGTGTTCGCTTTTGATCAATGGCTGACTTTAGTAAAGTTCGACTTATTCAACTATGCAACCTGTCAATTCAATTATTACCATAATTAAATCAAAATTTTTATCTGAAGCTATCAAAGGCACCTAATTGGACCTATATAATTCAAGCTTCAGATTGTTTGGGCCCATTAACTCGGAAGAAGGATCAGAAAATAGAGAAAATTTGCGAAATTTCGAGTTCTTGCAGTTCCCTCTCTTGATTGAGATGACATATCGGACTTATGGATTCGGGATATTCAATAAACCTAAGAAGAAATCCTATTTTGCTAAGTTCCGAGCATGTTTGGCTTGGTGGAATAAATAGTGTTTGCCACTATCGAGGAAGAAAATAAATTAAAGTCTTATCGATCATACTATATAGTACTATTGAATATGGTGTCCCAAATGTGCTCTTAGTTTATTTTGGTTTCCGTTGTCGTAATTGTTGATGTATCCATGGTGTTCTTTCATATGAATTCCACTAGCTGAAATATTTTCCTTTTATCCACATGCTATTGATGAACTCTATTTCACCATTGTTGTGGCATTAAATTAGACCATTTGTGCCTATTCTGTTTGAATAAACTAGATTTGAACCTCACATATTCAATAATGATTCATGTATTGGATCTAGTCAGTGTCTCATAAAATTCCATAGTTTGAGGAGTCATCTTGAATTCTTAGTATGGATAAATAGACCCCTATGTTGCAGTGTTTTTTAAGGCAAATAATAATCTTGTAGTCCTCGTGATTCATTTTAATGGAAAATTTTGATTATTATTTCATTCATCAACCATACATACATTCATCCATCCATGAATAAATCCAATCATT